GTAACTTTTTCCCATGCAGTACAAATTATTGAAAAATTCTACTTGATACTTTTCTCGACATAATGTTGGCTCGTCAGTAGCACCCAGACAATTGATCTTACCGTCATTTGCTTAGTTAACAGGAAGACAAATAAGTTCATTTGTATGAGGTGAAACACATTTGTGGTAATCTAAAGAACAGTTTAGTGTTGAAGATAGATCACAACCAATTTCATCTTCATCATGTGGACAATTCTATAAACCATCACAATTAGTATAAATGTTCTTACATGATCATTGTTCACATTCTGTTTCATTTTGTTCTTCGATAGTTAGCGAAATCAGTTCAGTAAATCCATCACAAATAGTTTGAAATGAAATATTCTTTCTGACATAGTGTATATGAAAATCTTCATCTTCACACCAATGTTGGTCTTCAAGTTCACATTGACAGATTCCATTTCTAACAAGTGATTGATGTATGTATTTATAAGCTAATTCACATTAGAAGTGATGTTTTAAAAGTTCTGTTAAATTAGCGTAAATGATTTGTGTTATATTTTCGTTATCTTTGTTAGGATAATCCTCTCTATTGCGCATGGGTCGATTCACTAGAATATATTTTGACAAATTAAAACACTGGTACATGTTTGATCTATTACAAATCGCAGAATTATAATTAGTAATTAAGTTAAATCTCTTCAAATCTTGGAATAGCTTGAATAAAGTTGGTTCATATCTATCCTCCCATTTAGTGGACGAAACCATGAGAAAGTCTAGTATATCAGCATGAAAACAAGTTTTATTTTTGAATAAGAGCTTTGGACGATCAATAAAATATTTATCATAGTAAGAATTGTTATAGCTTATGTAAGGTAGTACAGAATTGCTATCGATCAAATATAATGAGTCATCTTTTATGTGTGTGAAGTAAATGAGACCAAAAAAAAGAGGAATATTCGAAATGTAAAACATATATGGACATGTGTTGTTAATGATTTCTATACATGTTGGTTTTTCACAAATTCCAGTACACAATGGCTCTTCTGAATCTGGTACTTCTAACAAGCATTTGAATGCTGACCAACATTGTTCAGACATCGAAATGTCTTTAGTAGAATAGATCGCTTTCAAAAGTAAACTTTTGCGTTGGTATACACAAGAACTTGTCACGAATGTATACTAACATATCTTTTCTTCATATTCCAATGATGGTATACCTCTATTACAGTTGTAACTATGTTCATGGCTCATTGAAATTTTGTCAGAACCATCAAGACAATCAGGAGTGCTACGACCATCTCGAAAAAATGGCTGTAGCATACATTGTCCATTAGTACATCGATATTCATTATCATTGCATTCATTCATTTCAAGTTGTCAACAATGTTCTTCATCAAATTCACTATCAAGACAATCATCCTGTCCATTAAAAATTTCACTCCAATCTAAACATGCTGGAAAAGGACCACGATTACATTGTAAATGAGTGTAACAGGTAAACTTAGTAGAATTATATTCATATGTACGATAATAATCATGAATAATTTCATCTAAAGATGAATGATTTCGATGATAATAAGTAATTTCATATTGACACAGAACCAAATCTTGTTAATGTACAATTATAGAAAACTTGTCTTTCTAAAGATCAATCATTTGATGCTGATAATTGGTTTAAGTAAAATTGATAACATTCAACAACATCTATTGGTGCTGACCAAAGATATAATTGTTGACTAGTAATATTCCATTTCGAAAATTCAGCAAAAGTAAACTTTGGAAAGAAGTCGTTATTCTCGATATTGAAATTTCAATGGCAATTCATTCATATAATAAGATATAATTTCACGATTAACATTGAATTCATCAATAGAAGCAACAACATGCAAACAATCGTGTTGTAATATATTATGATTCTTACTTTCACTTATCCAATCTATATAGTGAAGATTAATGTGAGGTATAGCAACAATCAAGTTAAAGAGAATGAAATTGAATAAATATCTTGTATGATACATTATCTACTTATAATGCATTGACAAATAAATACATTAATGACTATTTATAAAGTTTCTATGTAGGTGATCTTTTTTTTTATAAATATCATTAGGAACTATTGACATTATTACAGTTCATGCTAAACTATAAATAATAGCATTGGTCCCTGCTTGATTGATGTAGTTTTTATATAGTTGCTAATAAAAAATGTGAATTCAACAGCTTATCCTCTTATTGATAGGTTTCTCGATATGTTAAGCTTAAAGTTTTGAATGAAATAAGCTCACATAAAATATATGTAAGGATAAAAATAAACGATTTTCAATAATTTTCATTTAATAAAACAATTATTCAACGAGTATCATTGTTATTCATTACATACCACAGTAGTAGGTGAATAATCAATTCAAAATGAAATTACAGATAGTGGTTTATGTCTTTTTTTCGAACTCAGAGCTGAAAAGATATATGACGTATTTTAACATAAAATATCATTTGTTTGATGATAAATTTAGAATTAGAGAAACAAAGTAATGTTAATATATCAATATTAATTCTTTAATTTATTAACTGATAAACAGATTTGTATATTAATGCGTTTACGGACAATAATGCAGACAGCAACTAACTTTATAGTAATTTTTTTAGTGTCTGTGATGGTAGTGAAACACATTCAATTTTTCTTTGTCGTTTTGGTTTGGCGCGGCCAGAAGTTTTCGACGATTCTTCTTAAAATATTCTTAGTTTCGAAAGATTTCAATGTGCATCGGTATCAATGAGACACACTCAAATCATGAGATTTCCTTTAAAAAAATTTGGGTATATGAATTACATATTATTTTTGTAGATCCACACCAGGTCACTCGAAGAAGCTCTAGCTCAAACTTGGCAAGGACCCATTGAAACAATATTGGGTGTGGATTTCTGTCTAATTGAAGACAAGATCATACTAACATATAGGATGTCGAAGTCAAACATCAGCTTGTCAGGCTCTTGATACAAATAGATAGCAATAATCAAATGAATTTATGGTAAATTGTGATCATTAATTCTTGATAGATACATGTCTCTATTTAAGAGGACTTTCTTTTCTGATCTGAAAGTCAATTTGTTTCCGTTTTTTTTGGTTTTTTCATCTCTCTAAATATGTTGAGTTGTTCTCTTTTTGATTAGCCGAAAACAATGTGAGTTCAGGTGTGATGTCTGAGTGTTGGTGGGGAGTGTGTGTGGATGAACTTTTTAATCTACAGAAACTCACACCCACCTCTATCCTTAGTTTATTCATTCATTTAAATGTCAGGGATTGTTTCGTTTTAGTAAAGGATATAGTCTGAAATAAAAATTGTATTTGTTATTTTCCTTGTCTGTCGTTGATTATCACTTCAAATTCAAATGTTTTTTTTTATCATTGTCACATAAAAGAATTTATTTTAACAATTTTTGGAACAAGAAGAAATGTACGGAGTTGACTTCGTATTATAATAGAATTACATTTTAAACGAAAGTGGAAAAATGAAGTTTTGAAGAATTTCAAATTATTTTTGTAACAGCACCAGAACACTTGACATGGATGTTAAACTCATGTTACAATAATATTTTAGTACATAACAACTTATTTTAATTCAAAAAAAAATAACTCCTACCAAATTATTAACTTTCTTAAGTTTCTAGTTTACAATCTTTCTCTACATTAATTTCTATCAATCTTATTATCTTCAAAAAATGTATTGATGATTTTCTTTTCTTTGCAAATGTTCAATATTCTTCTATCAATTTCAATGAAACAACAATAGATTATTTCTATTAAAATAAGATTTACATACCTTCGCTATTTTCATTATTAACAAAGACTCAGTAACATTTAATGTTTTTCTTTTCAAAAACGATCAATCATGTTAAATATTGTTATTAAATAAAATCTATACTTTTTTGATGATAACCTCTGATATAAATTAAACAGTTTTATTTGAAATATATATGCTTTTAGGTCACTTTTTTAAAGTGTTATGTACATAACTTTATTTTCTTTAATATGAATTTTAATAATGATTGACAAATAAAACATCACTGGTATTAAATGTCTGACAGAAGGACTGCTACTGATTTGTGTCAATTATTTGATCAACTTCATCTAATATTAGTGTCATTTCAGTATGTTCAATAATTGAATCAATATTATTAACATACAATGGCAGAGATTGAGCGTGAACTACAAAAATAGTCATAGACGAAAGCCAAAGAGTTATATTAAGAAATCGTTTCACAGCATCGTAGTAACTATATTTATAGAGAAGATATTTCCATGCTATTTCTGCATACTTATTTTGAATCTCTAAAATATCAATAGGATTTGTTAACTCGTTTGAGGTATTTGAATAATAACAACTAGTATTTTCAGAAAAAGCAAACAATGAAATTGACAGTTTAACCAATACAATATCTGGATCAATGAATTTCTTTGCCCAAGCATCAGTATCTACTGCAGGTTTTCCAAACTTTATGGTTAATGCGTTCAAGAAAGCATTGAGAAGATTTAATCGACAATGTAGCACAATGAATGCACCACCCATGCAGCACACATTGTTAGCAGCACTACGAAGTATTATGTAACGATTATCAGATGATAATTTACGAAGATCATCATTGGAACAAAGATATATCTCTGTTGTTTTGTAAATAGATGCTAAGAATTCATCTACAAGTGCTTGATAAATCATATAATTAGATTGTGCAATATCGTGTGCATCTATCAAACGTTGACTGAACGGTAAAATATGAGACTCTTGATAACAATTGAATAA